ACCCAGAACTGGGGTCCAGCCAAGTTGACACACAGCTCCAACCATCACAGATGGGTTTGCAAATTTTGGTCTGTCTTACGAATGTAAATTTTAAGAATTGAAAGAGGACATTATGTCCAGTTTCCTTTTTACTTTCTGACATGAAATTGGCTCTTATCTGTCAGTGCAGATCCTTTTTATCAAGACTCTGTCTAGAGCAGACATGTGACTGGAGGAGCATGTGCATGTAAGCACACACTATTCTGAGTAGCTTCTTTATGTAATCTGATTTTGTGATTACATGATCCTCTCATATGGGTTATAAATTACTTATATTTTATAATATTTACCTTTTGGCATCTGAAAGGTATGCAGTAAAGAACGTAGGATTTCTGACCACGTAAACCTGGATTCAAATTCTTGCTTGGAGAAGTGGAGAAATACAGCAGGAGCATGTCAACTGCCATTATTCAGACTCTGAGAGTGCTCTGGTGTGCAACTCTGCAGTCATGGGTGGAGGTGAGTTTTGAACTTAAAATCAATTCAACTACTATCAGTTGTTTTCCCAAAACTTTTGAAAGTAAAAAGAGAAAAATGAAAGCTGAAATGTATTTATTTACCGTTATATGTATGCAGGTATGTACACATATACATACAATATAAAACCAAAACCAAACCTACTGCCATCGAGTAAATTCCAACTCTAGCAACCTCCCTTGGGTTTCCAAGGCTGTAAATCTTTATGGAAACACACTGTGTCATCTTTCTTCCATGGAGCAGCTGGTGGGTTTGAACCACCCAACTTTTCGTTAGCAGCCGAGTGCCTTAACCACTACACCACCAGAGCTCCTTATATACCACTTGTTTTGGTTACCTAGTGTTGCACCAACAGAAAATACCACAAATGTGTGGAATGCCTTTAACAAACAGGAGTTTATTCTCTTATAATTTGGGAGGCTAGAAGTCCAAATTCAAAGTGCCAGGCTCTGGGGGCTGGATGAAAGCCCCTACACTTTGGGCTTCAGCTTTCTCTCTTACTCCCAGCCCACTGAAGCTGGAGGGTTTGTTCACTCAGGTAGCTGCTGGCTGCTGAGGCTGACAAACTCAAAGTTCAACAGGTAAAAAGGCACAGTCCTGGTCATTACTAAACCTCACAGCAGGCCATCGATTCAAGTCCGGGAAGAGTCCCAAGATCGGCAGACAACACGGCAGGCTGCTGGATAACGACTCGACTACTTGCAGGATGCAGGCATACCAAAAGCTACAGACCATTCCCAAAGCTTCTCCTTCTATACTGGAAGCGGGCTACATCCCTAAAGCAGCTACTCAGCTGCTCCAGTTGATTCCACCATGGAGTTGATTCCCAATCTCACCGTGGGGAATAACTCCATCCAGCTGCCCAGCCACTCAACCAGAGCCAGCCAAGTTGAGGCATAACCTGAATTACCACAGCAGTATACATACTCATTATTTAGGAAAATATTTTCTGATTGAATTACTGTTAACAAGGAAAAAAAAAAAAAAGATTATTTTTTAAATTTTTCTGTGTCTAGGCTCTAGAATGGGAACTACTGGCTCCCAGGGGCAAATATTTTATTTTTTTTTTATTATGATTTTGATGAAAACTTACAGAACAAATTGGTTTTCTATTCGATCTATATTCTGTTTTGTGACATCCATTGCAATCCCATAATGCAGCAGCACTCCTCCCACTCTCCTAGTCCCCGTGCCCACCACACATTTTTTATTAAGTGCTGCTAACTTGTCTGACCCAAACCATGGTCTTTTTAATCTCCTCATGTGTGAGCAAGAACTGTTGTTGTTATATGCTGTTGAGTCGGACCCAACTCAGTGACTCCTCCTTGGGTTTCCAAGGTGGTATCACCACGGAAGTAGAGACAAAAGAATGGATGTATTCAAATCATGGTGTTGACCAAGACTACTGACTATACAGTGGAGTGCACAATGAACAAACAAATAAGTCTTAGAAGCCATACACCTAGAAGGCTCCTTTGAGGCCAGGACTGCAGGACTCTGGTTTGAGTACTTTGGACTCATTGTCAGGGAAGACCGATCATTGCACAGGACATGGTGTTTGATTAAGTACAGGGTCAGTCAAAATCTTCAGTGAGGTGGAATGACACACTAGCCACAACGGTGCACTCAAACATGCTAACATTCATGAAGATGGCGCCGCACCAGGCAATGCTTTATTCCGTTGAACATGAGGTCGTCGTGAGTTGAGCCTACTAGCCAGCCGCTGACAGCAACAGGGTGTTGTTGAGGCTGGAGGTATGAACACAGGTGGCTGCTACATACTGCAACAGAAGCCCATGTCCACAGGGTCAGAGAGTGATTGGTAGGGAGATTTAAAAAATACATCAGAAGCCCAGAAGTTTCCGAGCAGCCCATGCTGATGTGACGCAGTAGGCATGCCAGTATTCTGGGAAATTCACCACGTCCAATAGCAGAAATCTTTGGAATCCGTTCTCCCTTTTCTCCTGGTTTCTTTTATGCCATTTTCTTTGTATTGTGTGTAAACTCTCAGTGATGAAGAAATGAGGTTAGTTAATTTATAATGTTCACTTATAAAGCTCCTCCTATGTCCCAGGCAGTAGTCTCAGAACTTTTATTAATTTATCTTTCTTAAAGTTACCACTTAGGAGCTCTGGTGGCGTAGTGCCTAAGGCACTTGACTGCTAACCAGAAGGCTGGCGGTTCAAACCCACCAGCAACTCCTCAGAAGGAAGATAGGGCAATCTACTTCTGTAGTGATACTGCCTCGGAAACCCAAGGAGGGGTCGCTATGAGTCGGGTCTGACTCAATGGCACGTAACAACAACAACAACAAAGTTACCACTTAGGAGCTCTGGTAGCATAGTGCCTAAGGCACTTGACTGCTAACCAGAAGTCTGGCGGTTCAAACCCACCAGCCACTTCTCGGAAGGAACGTTGGGCAATCTACTTCCTTAGTGTTACTGCTCCAGAGACCCAGGGACGGTTCACTATGAGTCCGGTCTGACTCGACGACACTTAACAACAACAAGGTTACCACTTGGCTGCTAACTGAATTAGCAGTTTGAACCCAACAACTGCTCTGTGGGACACAGATGAGACAGTGTGCTTCTGTGGAGATTACAGTTGGAAACCCTGTGTGGGGCAGTTCTACCCTGTCCTAGAGGGCTGCTGTGAGTCGGAGTGGACTAGGCGGCAGCAGGTTGCTTTCTGGTTGTAAGATGCTGTCAGTGCCCCTGTACTGAAGTGAATAGAGGCAGACTGAGTGGTGAAGGGATGTGCTCTTTGTGGCTGGCGAGCAGTGGTGTTGAGATTTGAATCCAGGAGAGAGCTGGTAATAAGCCCAAGGGTTCAAAACGCTGTATATGCTGCCTCCTTCCCTCCACACCCACCCATGAAATGCTCACCTTGTGGTTGAGATCTTATCACTTGCCACATTTTTCTATACTAATTGGGTCTTTTAGAAGAACTAATCATTTCCTTAATTGCTTAGTGATTGATTGATTGATTCTTTGCCTTGTTATCTTTCACCTCATCTTCTCTTTAGAA